TCCGCCTTCGTAGGGGAGCCTGCCGTTGGCCCTCTGGTAGTGTCCTCCTGGGGTGAGCCCTGCCAGCTCCTTCGCAACCTTTAAATCCTTGGCTAGGCGCGCGCTTGGAGGGGAACGCCGAATTGGAGGCCAGCTTGTTCTTTCTATGAGCGGCGAGTAGGGCCAATGCCGGTTGGTCGGCGGCTGCGTTGGATCCTGCGGCCAGGGCAACCGACAAACTGGGGAAGAGCGCGTCTGCCCATGTGTCCATGGTCGCAACCGAGAAGATTGTCTTGCCTGCACCAGGGGGGCCGTTTACGGTCGTCACGTGATGGCGGGTGGAGGCTGCTAGGGCCCTTGTGGCGTCGTGGTTGAGACTGTTGCGCTTGGCGCCGTCCTCCAAGGATTTCTGCGCCGGGAGGTCGCGAGCGCGTTGAAACACCTGACCGGTGGCGCCCTCCACCTGTGCGTCGGTGAAAGGGGAGGCGGCTGTAGGCCCGGCGGGGCGAGTGGGCATCGCAGAGACAGCACCGGGCACAAGTTATTCAGTGATGGGGAGGCGAGCCTCCAGGGTGGCCGTGGCACTCGCCCTGAGAGCCTGCCCGCGCCTGGCGGCGTTGGAAGCGTCGTTCGCGATGGACTTCTCCCCTCTGTCAGCTGTGCGGAAGGTGAGAAGGTAGGTGATTACGTCAAGAGGGGTACCGAAAAGGTCGAAGGGGACCTGCTGCAGCTTGTAGATCTCGGTGATTGCTGCCGAAATCCTCCAAAACTGGATCTCGGAGGGCGCCCGGTCCAACCTATAGTATGGTTCGCCTACGTAGTTGGGTCGGTCGATGCTGTCATCTGCGTGGAAGTCCCCGAACTTACCGGCATTGTAAACGACGATGCATTCGTTGCTGGGGCACCTGGAACCCGGTGGAAGTCCAAACGCCTGGCAGTCGCCAAGTGGGATTGTGCCTCCAAGGTCGGGAGACCATTGTAACTTGACGGCGGCAACTTGGTCCACCGCCGGGCCGGCGAGGCTGAGGAGCGGACGTGCGCGTCCTGTCCCGCGCCCTGGCCTTTGAGGAGGACCCTGAACCCTGAGGGATGCAGTCACTCTTTCCCCCGACAATTAAGGTGGGGAGGCGCTCCTCAGCTGGCATCGATCAAGGATAGCGCACTCTGAGTTCTGGTCGATGGGGGTGACGGATACTCCCAGGGCGCAACTTTGCCTTCTGATGGGGTCTGTCCTGGCCTTGACGGACCCGCCCCAGACGGCCCCAGTCGCCGCCATGCATTCGGTCCAGGCAAGTCTTTCGAGAGCCCGTCCTCTCTGCCATAGCTCCTGCGGCCAGCGAAGTGGGAATGGGGCGGCCTGCGGGACATCTCCTAATGGTACCTGTGTAAACGGAACCGGGCGCTTCCACAGCTGGCGGGGACGGAGCACAGCAGCCTGACAGCATCGGCCGCCGTCATCGCTGGCGACTTCAGTATTACCTTCCGTGCCCCTGGCGGGGGCGCGTCTCCGTAGCCGAAGCCTGTTTCTCCCTCGAGGCGCCTCCGTGCGCGGTCTATCCGTGGAATCCTGGGACGATACCCTGCTAGAGGCGTTGGGCAAGTCCTCTCCTTCGGGGCGTCTGGGTTAGTGGCGGTGGGGCGGCCGGGGGCGCCTCTGTCACGGGGCCCTTCCGTCGGTCTCGTGCCTGGTCCCCCATGCACTGGCTCGCCTCGACTGCTGGCGAGGTCGTGTTCCCGGGGAATGGGCGGTGTCTGCGGGGGTGGCAAAGTCGAACGCGTCGCCCCTGAAAGGGAAGTTGAGAGGTGCGTGGCCCCAGTCCTCCGGGAAGAACCAACCGGGGAGAAAAGCCAGCCCGCGCTCCTTCTCGGGCGCCGTTGGCTTCCACCCGGGCCATGAGAACCTCTTGATGTCGCGGCCGTGGGTGTGGTCATATCTCCCTCCATTAGTCAAGGTCCACAGGCTACCCGCGGTGGTGAATTCCTGAGGGTCGGGCCATCCGTTCGCCCACTGCCTGGTGCCTTCGTTCCAGTGGTCCCACTGGAGCAACTGCCCCTTCCCGTCGCAGTGCTTCTGACAAAGCTCACGCCACCAGCACCGCTCGCCGTTGAAATATGCCCATCGCAGCCAGGGGCACTCGCGCGCACGGAGAGGGAGGAGGCCGTCGGTCAGTGGGGGGCCCTCTGGGCGGCATGCCTTGCAGGCTGGCCAGCGAGCTAGTGGCCCTTGATTGCTTTTGCGTCTGCCCATCCTCCAGGGTCGCAGCTAACCGCCGCTGAGAATGATCTGGAAAGCCGGGGCGCCGCGGCCCGCTGCTGGGGGGCCTCGGCGGGCGGGGCGATCGATCGATCAGTGGCCAGGGGCGGAAGGGGGATGGGGGAGGGGGAGAGGGGGGATTTTCCAAGCAGAAGGCGGCGGCGGCACAACTCGTTGGGTCGCAAAGGTCGATGTCTAGACCTTCCACGATTGGGAAGCGGGCAGGGAGGGCGCTGTGGGCCCCTGCCCACTGCACGTCAGCGTGGACGGCGGCGTCGCCGGCGTTGCGCAACGCAACCGCCAAGAACACCCCCTGGGTGGCGAGGCTGTCTGCTGCTTTATTAAGGCGGCGCCTCGCAGCCTGCCAGGAAAGCACCCAGCCGATGCTCTTTGCCTGGGCGAGTGCGCTCTCCATTCGCTGGGCCAGGTGTAGCCCCCTGCACCTGGCTGCGCCGGCACCGCATCGGATGGCTGCGAGGTTGTCGCCGACAACCCTGGCGGCCCGCAAGGGCCCACTGAGGTGGGGGAGGGGTGCGAGGCCCGCGCGGCAGCCAGCAATCTCGGCCATCTGCGCACTGCTGCATCCGGGGAGCGCTACAATGGCAACAGCCACTATCCTGGGGGTGCCTGTCGCTGGGTCGTGGGGCCACATGATTATGCCAGCGCCTGAGACCCTGGTGCAACCGTCGGTCTTCCGGGCGCCGCCGTCGAAGGTGACCTCGCAGGGCCGCTGGGTCTGTCGGTGTCTGGGAAGGGGGAGCTCCGGGCGGTTACTTCGATTCCCGGGTCGAGGTCGGCGTTCGCCGTCAGTGTTGTGGCGTGCGCGCGGCACTCCCGGCAGCATGCTGAAGTCCAGCTGGCCGTGGGATTGTTGTCAGTCCTGGGGCAGGGGAAGCAGCCCCGGCCGGGCAACATCCATCCCGCGCGCATCTGGCTGGCCTGGATTACTGATAGCTTGTCTCCTGCTCGGCAGTGGCCGGTGACGACCGGGGGCCTGCTCACCTCGCCTCCTGCGCGTCGCGCGTGGCGGGTCATGCGTGGCCCGGCGGCTCCGCATATGGCCCTGTCCCGGATTGGGAGCGGGTGGCGCGTGAGGCAAGAATCTTGCATGATTGCCCAGACGGCCGTCTCGCCCGGGTTGCCGCGCCTCGGTGGTTCGTCGCCGTCGCGGTCGCTATCGTCGCCGTCGCCTTGCTGATCGGTGTCCGCGGCGACGACGCCCTGGAGGATGAGTCTCGACGCGTCACTGGCGTCGAGGGGAGTGGAGGTTAGGTTGACACAGCATCTGAAGGAAATCTGGTGAAGGACCTTCGCGAGGAGGGGCTGGCGGCCACCGCTGCAGGCGATGGCCAGGGCCAAGGATTCAGGATGGTCCGGGCCCCGGGCGGCGTTCCAAGCCAGGGCGGCGGCTGGGCACCAATGCCGCGCGTGTTCTGTCGACGCCTCCCCGAGCCCGCACAGAGGGCGCTGACCGTATGGGCCCGCTCTGGCGGGGGCACGCAGGCTGTCCTGGGTCTGGGCGCAAGCTTCCGCATTGCCCCAGAGCGCGAGGGGCAGGGCGTTGGGGTCGAGCAGCTGCCAGAGCGCAGAGGCGCGCGGGCCGGGGCCCGCGCGCCCAGCGCACCAGGCGTCGCCTTCGTCGCCGGGCCCGGCTGATGCAGACGTCGTACTTGGCGTGAGCCCCGTAGGGGCATTGCTGCGGCCGTCGCTCGGCCGCTCCTCGCCGTCTCGCGGAGCCTGGTAGGCCTTTGCAGAGTATGCGGATGACGTGGTGAGCTTCTGTGAAGGACGCGCAGTGGCGAAGCAGGCCCCGCCCTTCTCCGTTCGAGGGGCGCCGCCTTCTCTTTTGATTGGTTTCCTTGAGCCACTCGGCGAGGAGAGGGCAGTGCATATGTGGGGATGCCCACTTGCCTGCTGTTCGTGGTAAATCGTAGAATCAAGTTGTGAGGGGTTCGTATGTCTGCGGTAGTGATGCTGGTGCTAGTATACAACATAGTTGCTATGATGTGGTGTCGTCGTGATGCTGGTATTGATGGTGGTGCTGTGCATTGTATGTGATGTAATTATGATGATGGCGATTGTGTCAAAGGCGGTGATGGCAATAATGACTACGGACAGGCTTTGCCCTAGCTGCCGGCATGGGGCGTGTCAGCGGGTAAATCCCAATCCCATTCACTCCCTGCCTTTCCCCTCCGCCCCCGCCCCCAGTCCCCCGACAGACCCAGAGGAGGCCCTCAAGAGGCCCGAAGACGCCTCCAAGAAGGCCCCAAGATGGCCCAAGAGGCGCCCAAGACGGCCCAAGAAGGCCCCAATACGGCCCCAAGAGGGGCCCAAGAGAAGCCTGCCACGAGAAACACCCGCGGGACGATCCACGTAGCCGCACGCACTAGTAGGCACTAGTACTGGGGGGGGGGGGGGGCTGACGGCAGAGGGCGAAGCCCATAAGACATCTGGCAACGAGCGGTTGAGACACGAAAGATAAGTGACAATTACAATGTTCTGACACAATTGGGCAACGAACGGTAGGTGTCATTGGTCATTTTTTGTACTTCTCAGCTATGGTTTCATCCCGACACACAAACTCAGACGTGTGACTGTGACGTGCACTCTCCCCAGCTCCTCCCTCCTCCCTCCTCCCTCCCCTTTCCTGGTGGCCAGCAGAGGGGCCATCTGCTGGCTCTGAAACGATGCAAGACCGATCGCTACCCGCAACAGCGGCCAGTCAACAGCATCGAACTTCGTCGAACAGCAGAGCACTGCATCAAAATCAACGCGTGAAAAAAGAGCTGGTGCTCTTGGCACTCGTCCTCTCTGGTTTGTGATCGTCGAATGGCGCGCGCTCCCTATAGAGCGCGCCCAACTCGGACTGCTTGATCGCCACCTCCTCGGGGATGTCCGCCAAGTAGGGCATCTTGAAGACGTGCACGCAACCGAAGGGGTCCTCCAGTTCCTCGGTGCGGTACTCGATGCGGTGGGTGGCGACCAAAGGCTGTTTACCATTTTTCTGTTTCTCCTGCACCTTCGACGGCTCCCCGCATTCCGAAACTGAGCTCTTTGAGGGAGGCAGGGGCGGTATGAGGAACGCCACGCAGCAGTCCGACCTGCCGCTGTCGATGTAGAGCTTGCCGTCGATGTCGAAACTCTCGTCACCTTCAGTCTCCGCGACGATCTGCACGGCGGTGGCCTTGCCGAGAAGCTGCGCGGCTGCCTCTTCCACCACGCGCCCGAAGAAAGTGAGCTTACAAGTTCCAGCGCCCGCCGCGCGCTGCAACGTGATCTTCGGGTTCTCTGGGTCCACCTCGAAATCGCGCGTGATGAGGAGATTCGATGGGTCCACGTTGTCCGCATCGTAGTCGATGGCGGCTCTCTTCATGAGAAGGGTTTGGATGGTGCTCATCAGGTAGCGCTTCACGATGTTCTGCTTGCCGATCGGCGATGCGGATTCTGCCTTCTCCTGCGCCGAGATCTCTTTGCGCCACTGGGTCAGCGGCGCTGGCCCGAACTTTGATCTCGCCGCCAGGAAGATCGCCAGTCGAAACCATCTGCACGTCCTGCCCCTGCCGCTCCGCGGCCTGCGGCAGGTGTTGACCTTTCATACCAGCCACAACCGAGCCGAGAGGGTCTGCTAGCTTAGCGCACGCATCAAGGGACAACGGGTTTTGCTTCGCGAACTGTTCGACGACGTCGGCCACCGCCTTCTGGCGCTGCGTAGGGAACGCGTCGATGTTGCCACTGATCTTCCAGCCTGGCGGCATCTGGATACCGTGCTCCTTGATGGTGCACAGAAACTTCGCGTGAGACTTCGACATCAACACCTCATAGAGCTTGTCCTTGCTCTGCTGAAAGCCGATGCCATCGTGAGTCTTGCAGTGCGCGTTGAACTCCAGACACTTCTGGTAGACTCGCTGCCAGAAAGCAGGGAAGCTCATGCCTGTCGCCCTCTGGATCCCGTTCAAAACAAAGACGTGGCCACCAGTCGCATTCCGAACGGCCTCGTTCGTCAAGTCGGTGAGAGCGATGATGTTGTCGGTCATCTGGTGCACGAACAAAGGTAATTACGGTCTCGACGTAGTAGCAGGCCCCTCCCTGACGTTGCAATTCTGCCCCCCCCAGTGTCTTCAAGCAGTGCGCGAGCAAGTCAACACGCATGACCAGTATGGAGTTCTGGTCTATGTTGAGCTTCATGATGTCTTCGAAGGGCGTGCCAGAGAGAAGCGGCATGTTGTCGCTATTCACCGTCGCCTGGATGAGCTCGGCCACGTCGTCGAAGGGTCTCGGGAGTTTCTCCGAGACAGCCTCGGTCAGAACCTTGACGAGGAAAGCGCACGCGTTGTCCTCGGTATCGAACGCACCTCCGATCGTCACGACGTGCTGGAGCAGCGCCATCATAGCGGAGTTCATCACACCGCCAGACAATATATTGGCCGCGACGGGGACGGCGCGAGGGTTAGATTGCTGGAGGATGCCGAGCAGCGTCGCCGCAGGCTTGCTCAGCTCGCCGATCTTCTGTTGCAGCTGGGCAACCGACATGGTCGCGTCGATGTCGCCGTCGTCGTCGTCGGCAGATGCGGCCACGACGAAGTCCTCATCGCAATCGCTCGGTCTCGCAGTGAGCTTTGCGTCCTTTTACAGCAGCACTTTGAACATCTGCCTCAGCTTGATCCAACCCCTGACCTCCGTCAGCACATCCTTCGACCCGAGCTTCAGGCGCGCCACATCAGTTGCTGCCGCATACAGCGTGATCTTCCAGAATGCTTCGATCTTGGCCGACTGCCTTCCACTCTCGTCGACCTTCGCGAGGTACGCGAAGGTGGCGCACATGTCATCGGCGAATGTGCCTGTGGCGTCGACGTCGGCGTCGACACCTACGTCTCGCCCTGCAACCGCATCTGATGCACCCTCCCCGCCGTCACACAGCGGAAGGGGCTCAGGGGCAGATCCATTGGCTGGGCCTTTGCCGCGCCCCTTGCCTCGACCACGACTGGCAGCGGCGGCGCGACCTCCGCGCCCCCGAGGGCGTTTTGCCTGGGGCGCCTCCTCCTGCTCATCGCCGCCGCGTGCCTCCGCTGCCTTGCGCTTCGTGGCAATATGCATCCGCTGCTTGATCGCTGCCTTTTTCGCTGCCAACTTCTGGGCGTCGCACAGCTTCGAGTCTGTGCCGATCTCATCCAACAAGCCCTTCAAGCTGGCCTCATTGACCCCTACCAGTAGTGGAAGGCCATCAGGGGCGAGCTTGCATTTGCCCCAAGCAGTGCTGTCACCCTCGTAGCGCTTCGCCTTCGGGAGCATAAGGAGAACGATGTCGACGATCAGCGTCGGCTTCTGCTTGAAGATCCGCATCGCCGTAGCTGCAAGGTTGAAGACGGTGTGAATGTGGCCAAGCGGCATGCGGGTGAAGTCGACCTCGTTCTGGATCTTGTAGTCGAGCTCCTCCCAGATAGACTTGCCAGCAAACTCGTGCCGAACTCCAGGAAGGTAGGGGTGCACGGCATCCTCGTCGTGATAGGTCGTCGTGGCAGCATTGTAGAAGTATTGGCAATCACGATAGTTGTTCGGCGTGGCATTGGCGATTTCCCAACGTTTCTCCCTCCGCGCCTTCTGCCCGAGACCAGAGTACGTCCAGCTCGATGCCTGAGCTTTCTTGTTGAACGCCGCCTCCACGGCCGATGTGCTTCTTCAGATCTCTGACGGCGTGATGTCAGTGCGATTCGCATTGGTCTTGTTTCCGAGCTCTCTCAGGAAGACCAAGCACTCGGGGCGTTGGTAGATGCCCCTGCGGTAGAGCTTGCAGTGGCGCATGCCCTCTTGGATGCTCAGCTGGACGGAGCGGGTTTTCCGACCCTTGTCGGTAAGCCGCGCGCGCTTCAGCCCGCCCAGGAGCGTCGCGCTAGGAATTGCACTGAGCCTATCACTATTGTTGGCGTCTTCGTCTTGCATGAGCCAAGCCGACTTTGTATCCAAGACCCCGACGCTCTCCACCGACTTTTGGCGATCGATGAGCGATCCGATCTCGCCCCTGTCGTTGAAGCAATTTCGATGGACGCGAAAGCGTCCACTCGAATCCAAATGCTGCAAGTGGTAGTCTGCGTCGATGCAGGAGTCCTGGTCGATGAGGCTGGCGTACTCCTTGTCGCTCTTGTTGGGCCCGTACTTGTCAGCGATTGTCCGATCAGTGCTTCGGGGGGTGGAAGCCTGCACATCGATGCCGAGCTCGGCGAGTGCCTGGTCGACCTCCGCTGCGCCGCCCCCCTTGCCGCGGCGCGCCATGCTGCTTGGACGTCGGCAAAACCAGGCGGCCAAAGGTTGGGCGCGCGGCGCGCGCCGACGAGGACAAATCCTCAAATCCACCCGGCGTGGACGAGCCAAAATGGCTATGGTCACGGAGGAGGATGGGGAGGAGGACGCGCATTCAGCATGAGGGAGCGTCAGCATATGTCAGTTATGCATCAGCGGCTGGTTCCACTAGGGGCTCTCGGGCGGCAGTTGCTTCTTGCGCAATTCGAACTAGAACTGCGTAATTCCCCACCCGCCCATACTTATCACCCAGGGCCATCGGGGGCCGCATGGGTCGGGGGTCACAGGGGCCACAAGGGGGCCACAGGGGTGCCACAGGAGGCCGTGGGGGCCGCAGGAGGCCGTAGGGGGCCGTAGGGGGCCGTAAGGGGCCGTAGGGGGCCGTAGGGGACAGGGCCCGCTGGCAATTGGCCCGCTACTGCCGAGGATTTCTGTTGGGGTCCTCCCTGATGTCTTGTCCTTGAGCCAAAATGGTTACAGGGGGAGCACCCTTGCGTTCGGTTTCACTTTTATTTTTGCTTTCCATGGGAGGCGGACCAGGGCCCATTGCGATAACCCCAAAACGAAAAATTGCCTTCGGGCCCCTGGAGGGGGAACGTGGAGAAAGGGAGGGGGGACGCAGGAGCGCCACTCTCATTGTGCGGCCAAGCCTCAGGTGGACCGCCCCCCCCCTCCACGCGTCACGCTGCCTTGCGCCCTGGCGCTGGGCAGAACCGTGACGGGACGAGCCCCCGCCCCCGCCCCATACAAGGTGTCAGACCTTGGCGGCGGAGGAATGGAGGAGGAAGGGGGGGAGGAAATGAGGGAAGCGGGAGGAGGAGGAGGGGGGAATGAAGGGACGAGGGCTCGATGCTGGACGTTGCGTTTTAAGGCTATCTTCAAACGAGTTTGATGCTAGCCATTGTTTTCCAAGCCCATCTTCAAACAGACCCCCTCTTGTTTGAAGATGCTTTTCAAATCAAGCATCTAGCTTCAAACTCGTTTGAAGCTGTTTTTTTTCTCGGGGCGCCGCCAGCAGCAGTTGGCAACGTTCGTCTGCCGCGGGCGGAGCGAAAAACTCGCTCAGTGTCTGCGCCTCGCGCCAACTACACAACCCTGTCGGCGCAAACAGGGCAAGTGAACGCATTGCGTTCGAAATAGATACGCCCAGGATCGACCACTCGACAGCGCTCTATGTGCCAGGGCGCGGTGCAAATTACGCAGCCATGCAGATGAAGTCCTTCAACTTTCCGCAGCATCTCGGAGTGCTCTGGCAGGCCGACCGCAACCGCGGCACTGCAGATGATGCACTGTTCGTACGACGCTGGGTCCTGTGGCCCAGAAAAATGCTGGAGGCGCAGCCGACGCTGCTTCTGCAAGCACCACTGCGGCATGTCCAGCCGTTCGCCAGGCTTCCCCTTTGAGCACACCTGCCCGGCGTCCTTAATTGGGTAGCTCCAGCCCTCAGCCGCGGGAAAGAAAGCAGGCTTGTCCTTGGCGTAATGCAACGCCACGATGCGGCCACGATGGTCGATGGTGAGCACCCGCCCCCCGAAGATGGCACCATTCCTCCAATGCACAAAAGATGTTGTATCGGCTTTGGTAACTAACGAGATATTGCCATTCACCAGCTCGGCATCGGCTTGAGAGGCTGCCTTCGCATCTGCATGTCTGAGAAGTTCTCTTCTGCTTCTCGTGGCATCACGCGCCTGTGCGAGAATATCGCGCCACTGCTCGACAGCGCCCAAGTCGGTGATATCATAGATCGGCTTAGGCCCTAGTGGCCCCATAGCTGCACCATCGCCGAAATCACAATGGCCATCGTCATCACTTCCAGAACGATCTCCAACCTCATGGCCATCAGAGTCGTAGTGCTGCTCCTCGGGGTCGGCGATCGTGGCAACGTCGTCTCCGAGTGCCAGCTCGTCCTCGTCAATGTAAGCCTCTAGCATCGACCCCAAATCCTCGAAGGTAAGATCCTCGCAGCCCCCGTCGGCGCCAGCGTCACCAAGGTCACCACTAGCGTCGTCCCCATCGGCGCCTGCGTGCCCACCTGATGAAACATGCGCTAGAATTGCATGGCACACCAAACCAACTAACCACGATAATTGCAATATATTGGAGGAGGGGGGAGGAAGGGGGTGGGAGAGCGCACGCTTCCAGTGTGTCTCTCAGTCGGCCCAGGGTCCCCAAGTCCAATCAGTCCAGGAGTCCAGGAGGGGTGAAAGTCGGCACCACAGGAAGGGGGATGGGAGGAATAGGTGAAGGAGGAATAAGGAGGAGGATGAGGAGGGTAAGTAGGAGGATGAGTTGCCCCCCCTTGCAATTATTGAAGTTAGTTGGTTAAGGTGTTGTGTGTGCCAGCATTCGAGCATCTGCTGTGCCTCCCTCGCCGGTTGCCAGACTGCGCGGCGGTCGCTGCGCTCTGGTCGGCCTGATCTCGATTCCCTGCTCCGACGCGGCCTCGTAGTAACCAGTGCCCAGGACAGGCCATGCGCAGGGTGCCCTATACAACTTGATGGCCGCACGAGGCCGCCTCTCGGCAGTGATGGCGAACATGGCGCAGCCGTCGGATATGAAGTTCGTCAGCGCGTCGATGGCAAAGGGCTGATGCAAGGTCACACAGCGCCGCGTGTCGTCGCCATCTATGCGGGTAGTTGTACACCGAGCGACGTAGACATTTCGGTAATAAGACCACGTCATGACAAAAGAATTCCTGCTGTCTGTTGTCGGGTCGTCGAACGACCAAGCAAACCCAGCACCTTGCCAGTAGTGATCGAATATAGACCAAGCGTAAGGCGCTGCCAGCACGTTCTCGAGGGGTCGACAGTAACCACAGACTGGCGCTGCACACTTGCGCGGCTGCGGCGTGTCAACGACTGGCATGAAGCGAGTGTGGTGATCGCGCGATTGAAACTCGGCCTGCACGAGCGCATGCAAGCTCTCGCACTCGCTGGCTGAAATCGGGTCACCTTTCTTAATGACAACACGATCGCTAATGAGGGTATGGCTCGACCGAGGTGCCAACCTGCACATGTGCTGTAGCAGTGACGCTAACCCCTCGAGCTCTTGATTGTCAAGTGGGATTTTGGCCCTGAGGAACAGCAGCGCCCCGTACAACCCCACTGGTACACATCCCGTTGATTGGACGAGTTCAAAGTCGGACCTGTAGAAGTGCTTGTACTTGACCGCTATATCGCTGTCGGGCCGCCCAACGCAGCAATCATCAAGGTCAAGCAATTCCGAGGCAATGTCTTTCCGCACATCGCGTGGCTCTCTAGGGTCGCCCTCGAGGAGATTCAACAGCTTCAGCGGCACGCTCCGCGTTCTGCGCAGTATCCTGACGCTGAAGGCCGTCGCGACCAAAAGAAGTAAAGACATGATCAGATCCCGGGCCTTCAGATGCAATTCTTCAGGAAGTAACTCGAACACCAGCCCCCACTCCTTGACGTCGTGCTCAGTAGAAGGCAACAACTGCTCATTGAGAGAATTCCACATCGACTGGGCTTCTGTGCAAACGAGCCTCGACATGGCAGTAGGTCCCAAATATGTTTCACCCTTGGCACTCGCATCTGTTGTTCTCTGGTTTTGCTCCTTCACGGCTTTCTGCCCCCATGTCAGTAGTCGATGCAAAACTCGCTTGGCGTTGCTGGAAATAACGACGATAGCTTTGAACTTCGAAGAGGACGCAGCCTGCGCAGCCAGAATCCTGTAATTCTTCTGGTCGGTCTGGAAAGCAACGCCCTCGTCTTCGCCAGGGTCAGTCTTCTTCTTCCGCGCCAATGCTTTCTCAGCTGCCTTGATCTTTCTCTCGAAAACCTCCTCGAAGACTGGCTGTATATGTGGCATCGCCCACTTCAACAAAGATTCAATATCATCGACCGACCCCCATCGTCCACGCAACACCCTCCCAGGCTTTCGCTTGAACGCAGCTTTGATAACCGAAGGGATCTCATCCGAGTTGTCAGCGCACTGGCGAATGGCGCTCGCAATCCCCGTAGATCGCCAAACGTTGGAGACCGTAGCGAGGGCTGACACATACTTTTGGCTGTGTTGCAAGGCTTCGTCCAAGTCGCTCTCCAAGTATCGTAGCACATCCTTACAAATCAAGTGAACGCCATGAAAAATGCAAGTAAAAAGCCCCACGGCAACGTTGCGGTGGCCCTTGACCTCGGCAACCACACGCTTGATGCTCGCAATGTTCTCACCGCCAACATCGGCTCCAAAACAGGTGTTCATGCGCGTTGGCGCATCTGCAGACTCGGCCACCCGCTGGCGCCACGTTGGGCACCTCGTGGATTCGAGGTCGCGAAGGAGGAGCCCGTGATGCTCATCAGCACTACCACGCAATACCTTCTGCAAATCGCCAGCCATCTTCGTCGACCACGCGTCGATGTTCCCATCGAGGTTGAAGCTGGCGCGCGCTGCGACAATGGAGCTGACGATTGACATATGGACCTTGGGAAGTGGCGCGCAATCCAGCTGCAGTGCATTCGTGCGTGGCTATAGCGGCCCAGACAACATGGGGCAACAAACGTGGGCCGAATGTGCAAAGAACACCTCATATGAGATATCATTATGATATCTCATATGAGGTGTTCGAGCCTGCTTAAGCCACACACACAATGGACTGCAACCTGATTGCAACGTCTAGCCTTGCTGTTGTCGACGAGCTCGTGCGAAGTAGCGTCGGATGATATCAAATGCACCTCGCAGATATCGTTGGTGCGTCCCTCTTTAGCCGCGAAGTAAATCATATGGTTCCGTACTCTCTTTGCCACTGAGACCATGGGCTCGAATCTCGCGATCGTCTTGGGGTCGGCGACGTTCCCATGCAACTCACCAGCAGCTACCATTTGCAATGTGCCAATCTGTGAGCACTGGGCGGAATGTCGCTTGCGTGCCAACGTATAGCCAGCATGCACCCCTACGCGTGAGAACGCCCCAGTGCGGAATTGCACCTCTTTCCTGATACCAGCCAGCTGGAGTTCCGCACGGTGCCTAGCAATTCGCTCCACCCCCACGTCGCTCTCTACCGCCAGTCTCCGTCGTTTCTCTAGCCTGAGTTCGGCCTCCAACGCCTGGATCGCGCAATCGCGCTGCACTAACATATCGCAGACCTCCGTCTTAGTGAAGTTGTCGTCATAAAACGCAACTGATTCAGCGTCGAAGGGTACAGCGGCCTCGGCGGCGTCCGTGGACCGCGCCGTGGCAGCATCACATCTGGGAGCGCCAGCAGCCTCCGCCAATGCACCAGGTGGTACGACAGCCATCATCACCCCCCCTACGTCAGTGGCCGATATGCTCATTGAAGCGAACGTCGCGAGAACACCAGGCAACAACAACCACTTGAAATGTGTGCGGGTCGCCCATGGCAAGCCATTATCGTAAATTCCTTCTGGGCGGGCACATCGGTGTATAACATAATCGCGTAGCCTCGGTACCATTGAAATCACTAGTTTGTTCTTGTCTGGATTTTGGTCTTCGTCCACAAGAGCTAAAATCAATCTGGCTGCTTCTCTGTATGTCATGGCCCCTGAAGCGAGACTGCGGCTGATTCTGCATGTGCGCAGCGCAGAAATGACACGCGGCACCGCCGCCATCCATCTCGAGCCAAAATGGCTATGGGTCGGAACGCGATGAGGAGGGCGAGGATGAGAGGAGGACGACACGGAGGGGCAGGAGGATAACGAGGATGATAAGGATAAATATGGAGGAATAGGAGGAGGAGGAAGAAAGAGAAGGAGGACGAGGACGAGGAAGCCTGGGGGGAGGGTGACACGGACGAGGACAAGGAGGAGGGGAGACGCGGCGCCTCAGTAGGGATATCAGGAAAAGCAGCGTCAGCTGCCCCCGACTCGCACTTGCTGCGTTGTTTAAGTCCCCTCTCGCAGCTCGGGATCAACACTTTGTTCGGCTGGGGGAAATTGTTGCTGGCAAGGCCAGGTGACATGTAAAAACAAAAACGAACGCTTATCATGAATCAGTATTATTTCGCCATTGGCAGGGTTATGTTTAAAAACCTGGCCGCAAATTGGGAGACTAAGCTTCGTCCAGGGTTTGCTGAATTCCATTCCAACGCGCCTCTGGAATATAAAATTAAACCTCGCGCGCTGTGCAAAGACCAACGTAATGCGCGCCTGGCTGGGCCATAACATAAGCTAACCTGAGGAGGCCCTTGGACCTGCATGTGGGGTTCGCCTCCAAACTTGATGTTACTATCTCCCATGGGAAAAAGCCAAAGTGGGGATCCTCAGTGCATATGTGCCCATGCTGCGGCGTAGAACACTTCCCCGAGGTGCTTTCCTGCCGATAGCTCGGGTCGCTCACATGCGCGATTGAACGCTAGCGCAGCTTTGCGTGCCGTGATGACACTGGGTCTGGGCCTGGGCGTCTCTGGTTGCTGCGCGCCTTCGGATGCCCACTTAAGTAATTTGTTCCGCTGGCTCCCGGCGCGCTTCCTGGCTGGCTTGGGCCCCCAGAAGCCATTCAGGGCGCGTGCTCTGGCTGCGACGGACAGCGCCATAGCTACTGGGCACCGTGGGGCGCCAGGCGCTTGGAAGCGCATGCCGAACCCCGTGGGGATGTAGTTTGGGATCCACGACGCTGCGGCGAGCCCAAACGCGACCCTGAGCTGCGCGCGAAGTGCGCGCTCTTGCACGACATCGGGGGCGGCGCAGTGAGCGGCGCAGGGGGCAACGGAGACCAGGCAGGAGTTCCACGCCGCGGCGGTGCGGGCGGGGGACATCTTAGCTAGGTGGAGGGCCATGGCTCTGTCTCTCATCTTGGGGATGGGGCTGCTCCCATGCCCCTCTTGTGAGGGCGTCCGCTTGCGCCTTAGTGAGCTGCTCACCACTGGGGGGGGGGGTGTCCTCCGCTGCGCGCGAGGCCACCACGGCGCCGAGGCGTGGCCACTGGTCCCGCACGGAGGAACTCCCGAAAGGGGTGTAGTCCATGAGGTTGCGCCACCATTCGTGGCGACCTGCGGGGACAAGGGCTGTTTTGAAAGTACAACTGCACGGGCGCTGCAATGGGATGCATGAGTCGCTGGCCTGCTGACCCACGCCCCCCGTGAGGAGGGCCAGAATAAGTCCGCCTGGAAACCCGGTGATCAGGACACTGTCCCCGTCTTGCTCAAAGTGGACTGGGGCCTCCTCGGGGGCCTCCCTGAAGGCTTCTGAGTCTGTGGTCCGGATACCTCTGCGCCGGTGCGCTTCGATTAGGAGACCGGCGGCGCGCGCTGCCCAGGGAAGGGCAATGGCGGCGCGCAGCGTCTGCTTCGTTGAGCTCGGCAGCGCTGCTAGGTCATCGACGCATGCGGGGTCGTCGTCGACGGTAATGTTGGAGAGAGCGGAAACGAGAGGGTCGTAGCCCATGCAACACAGGAAGGGGGGAGGCGGTACCTCCCATCCCAACGGACCGGAGGAGGCGTCGCTCTGGCCCCTTGTACTGTTCTTTGCAGGACTGTACCTTTCGCCCGCTGATGAGGGAGTTCAGGGCGCGCAGGAACCAGGGGGGCAACTTCCATTCGTGAAGGAGGCTTCCCATCCACTGCGAGGAGATGATTTCAAAGGCTTTGTTTTGACCGCAGAAGATGGCAGCTGTGTTCGGGGCCGCTCCGACTCGTGAGTCTGCCGTGTCGATGTACCTCTCTACGGTGTCCGCGTGCCTGCCAAGCACGGCCCGCCAGGCAAGGCCAGGGTCGGGGGGGGGTTGGGGCCTGCCCCCAGGTGGCTGGTAACCTTGGCGGTGTTGGGCCCGCATTACCTTTCTTTTTTGGCGGCCTGGTTGGGGATCAGGAGCGGATCCACTGCTGGGCCTATCAGATCGGCAAGGGTGGCTCCACAAATTCGTCGAAGGCACGACGGCAGCTGGAGTGGTCTCGTGTCGTTGGGGCTCTCCGCGCCGGCCTTCTTGCCAATCCACACTAGTAGGTCGACTGATGGGCCCACCACGGCGTCCAGGAAGGTAGGGTTGAGCTCCGCGGCGTGTCAGGCCTGTGCCATGAGGCAGGCGACGAAACTGGCTCCAGGGTAGTAGGCCTCGTAGGGTTCCCCGTCTATCCCCGGAGCGTTTCCGATGGGGGTGAGGACGAGGGAGGCAATCCTGCTCCACCTGGGCTGGGGTCTGTTGGGGACGTTGATGCCGGGGTGCTGAAGGAAGTAGTGGTCAAGGAGGCGTCAGGCGGAACCTGGGAGGGGGGGCGCGGTGTGCCAGATCGCACTGCGGCTGTCCCACAGGACGCGGTCGACCTGCTCAGGCCTATCGTGCCAAGAGCCTGTGGTGTCACGAACTACGAGGATGGCGTGGGTCTTCTTGTAGATTTCTCTTCCAGTCCTGTAGTGGGCGGCCAGGGGGGCCCGCTCCGCGCCCGGTCCCCTTCTGGGCTGGTGTTAGTCTGGCCGCCCTCCTCTGCGCTGCTTCTGCGTCCCACTTTCGGAACCAGCCGCCGGCTGCAACCGTACTCATGTAGCCACGCAGCCAGGGTGCCCACCGGGCGTGTTGGTCGGCCCAGCATCTTTTCCACCAGTCCTGCAAGGCGGCGGATAGCGCGTGTCTCCCGAAGCGCATCAGGGTAGGGAGAACGGGCGGGATGGGATCTGCGCTGTCCTCAAAGAGTCTGGGGTGGTTGAGGGCCAGGCGCGTGTCGTCGGCGATGATTTCACTGTCGTCATTGTCGACATGTCTGTCCGGGAACCCCCCATGGCTCGCGGGTCTGACCCAGTCCACCGGCTGGATAAGTCCTGTGAGGTTGACGGGGGGAACCTCGAAGGTGAGTTCCAGGTAGGAGAACTGTTTTACAAGCGGACACGACTGCCAACCAACCACATCCACTGCAAACGCAAACTTGGGCAACTATTGCGCCCAACATCCGGAAACCCGGGGAAACAAGCGCGAACAAACCGTGCACTACCACGAACCCACACACGCTTGCAACAGAGCGCTGCCAGCAGCCACGCGGCAAGGTGAATTAGAAATTAAGCTGGTGGGGTTACGCGAAGCGTGGAACATTCACAGAGCGCTCCCAGAGCGCCCCCGCTCAGAGGAGTGCACCCAGCGCGATCCGAATGCGCCGCATTGCGCTCGTATGGGGCGCACCCAGGGACAGGGAACGCTCACAGGGCGCTGCCAGTGAGCTCCCAGGAAACGTGCCCAGAGCGCTGCCAGGGCGCTTCCACGGCGTTCCCAAGGAACGCTCCCAGTGCGCTCCAGCGCTTCCAGGGCGGCCACAAGTAACGCCCCCAGTGCGCTCCAAATGCGCTCCCAGGGCGCCCCTGTGGCATATAGTACCCTGAAGGGCGCTCCCGATGCACCCCGAGGAACCCCCCCAGTATGACCCCAGCGCGCCCTCCCTCCAACGTGATCCCAATGCACCTCAGGGAGCGTTCCCACTGCGCCCCCAGCGCCTCCCCCAGCGCGGTACAAATGCGTTTCAGGGAGCGTACCCAGGGCGCGCAGGGAGCGCTCCCAGAACGTTTGCAGGGAGCGCGCCCAGTGCGCTCTCAAGGGTAGAATGGCATGCGCCTTCCCCTCCACCTGTTGCTCCCTTCCTCCCCGCCCAATTGCGCCGTTGGTTGCGCTTCCCTCCGCCCTGTTGCGCCCCCCTCCCCCCGGCGCTCCCGCTCGAACGTTACGCGGTTGCGGTTGCGACAACCCCATGCAACTCCTTCCGGGGTACCAGAATCACGTCCTCGTCAACAACAATGATTACCCCAGCGCGGCCCTACCAAAAAGTTGGAGTCCCTAGGAGAGCAGCATTAGTTGCTATGCTGTGCTCTGCTATGATATGGTATACCACGATATGCTGCGCAATGCTGTGATATGCTATGCTATGATGCGCTATGCTATGATGTGATATGATAAGCTATGGTATGCTAATTATGCTAGGCTATGCTGCGCTGTGCTATGCTGTGCTGTGCTGCGCTATGATATGCTATGCTGTGATATGCTATGCTGCGCGATGCTATGCTACGCTACGAGACCGATGTTGCATCACAGCAACAATTCGGCCCCTGACTTTCGCCCTGGGCTCGGTTTCGTGAAGATATGAGTTTCGGGGCCCTTCCGTGTGATAGAACATCACTTCACTAATCTGGGGCCCCTGGGGCCTCAGTGGGCCCTAGGGCACAAAATTAATGGCGTGATGGTTTTCGGGCCTGTGATCTGCTGGGCTATGCTATGATATGATGTGTTGCGCTATGCGATGCTACGCTATGCTATGCTGTGCTCTGCTTGGCTAAAGCTCAGCGAAGCCAAGACGAAGGTAAGCTAA